CTCTTTGATAGACCAAATGTGGGATCTTTTATTTGTCCACATAGCAAGCATTAACATGAAGTCCCTACGAGAACTGAATAAATATAACTGAGAGGACACCAGATACTACTGGCGAGAAATGTGATGATTTCTTAGGACGTTAAAACTTGATAAAGTTCTGCAATGATTGCCTACACTCATTAAAGCCCAGAGTTGGCAATAGCTTTTCCTTCACAAATCTCAAATCCTTGGGGTTCCCTCGAAATCTAGTTCATGAAATAGGAAAGAGGGCGGTATCTCCTTGAAAGTGTTTTGGTTTTACTAATACATCTCAGTGTGTGAATTACAGTTACCAGAGTTCTCCTCATCATTTTATTTGATCCTCAGAAACATCTCCAAAGTCAGGCAGGAGAGCCTGCACCATTATCCCCTGAGGCCCAGTGACGCTGAATTGATTATCAGGTAGTAACTGGCAGAGCTAGCATGGGAGTCCTGGGCTTCTGGCTCGGGTCTCTTCTCCCTGCACGGCACAGCCTCACCAGGCTCAGAATAATTTTGTTTTGTTTTGCAAAAAAGAAAATCTCCCTTTCTCTTTGCGCTATCACATTGCCACTAGCAGGACATTTGGTCTGTGTATGACTAGTGAACTTGTGGGAGTCATAAAAAAATAATGAATAATGACTACAGAACAAATCCTGAACGTGCCAAAACATGTGGGCCAGGTAGTAAGTGTTTTAGAATGCCAGCAACGAGAAAGGGAGACCATTAATTATTGTGGTGTTTCTTCTTCTTTATGCTTGTTCCAGATAGTTACTTTATGCAGGGTTATGATTGGTTTTTAAACATTAAACCAGTGGTTATCTTTGGGGATTTATTGATTCCTGCACAATGTTGAACTATGTGGCCTTTTTAAAGCCCTAAGGATGGATGAGGGATGAACCATGGCTGCCCACATTGCTTATAGCCTGGTTAAATTGATCAAACTAGGAAAATGATAAATTGTGTAATAAGAGCTAAAGGGAAAGTGGCTACTTGGCTTTATTAACAATGATTTTTAAAAATTGAGTTTTGTTGTAAGTTTTTTTTTTAATTAATATTATTACTGATAGCATCAGGAGTAGTTTTCAATATGTTGTATAAAGAGATAAAGCATAAAGGAGAGTTTAATAAACTGAATTAAAGACTTTAAGCTTTCAGAAAGTGCCCTAATGTTACAAAAGACACCCACATACAGTAACAGGTAACTAAACATCTATATTTTACTATATAGATGGTCATATGTTAGCTCAAGTAAAATACTACATAAAACATGATGTTTAAGTATATGTATTTGTATGTAAAAATACTAACTTAAGTTTGGTACCTATTGAGCCTAGATTGTACTTAGACTGGTGAAATTCTACACCTGAAAATCCTGATGATACTTTTCTCACAGCCAACATACTTTGTTAGTGAATTAATAACTTGAATACTCAGTCTATCTCCCTTTCTGGGTAGATAGCTGTTCCCTTATTTCTCTCTTTCTCTTTCTTTCATTCTCTACACATACACAGCCATAATAGGAGCCCAGGTGGATGAATAATTAAGTGCTCAGCTGCTTACAGAAAGGTTGGCAGTTCAAACCTACTCAGTGACTTTATGGGAGAAAGACTTGATGATCTGCTCCCATAATGATTACACCCTAGAAAACCCTGTGGGGCAGTTCTATTCTGTCAAATGGGTCGCTAGGAGTTGAAATAGACTTAACAGTACCAAACAACACAGCAACATGCATACACATCCATCATTACTCAACTGTTTAAACAATATTTAAAAACTTTCCAATCTGAGCAAATCACTGTACTAGTACTATGGTGGAGGTAGGGGGCAGGGAGTGGGGAAGCACAGATGAACCATGCACAATTACTAACCTTCCCTCCACTTTCAGAGGACAGCTTTGAAAGTGGGTTTGAATCTTAGTTTTGATTTGTGTTTGAATGTTAGCTCTGGTAGACTCTACTATCTTGACTAAGTTCCTTGTTTTCTGTGTCTCAGTTTTCTTATCTGTGAACTGAGTATAATAATAATATCTACTTCTATAGGATTGTTGGGAGTTCTGGTGGTGTAGTGCCTAAGGCATTTGACTGCTAACCAGAAGGCTGGGCAGTTCAAACCCACCAGCCACTCCTCGGAAGAAAGATTGGGCAATCTACTTCCATAGAGATACTGCCTCAGAAACCCAAGGAGGGGGTCACTATGAGTTGAATCGACTGGATGGCAGTGAGTTTTTTTTTTTTTTTATAGGTTTTTTAAGAAGATTTAGTGAGCTAATGTGTGTAAAGCACTTTGAAGAGTGTCTGGTTCAGAGCAAGATACTGTTTTGTTATTATAGTTATATTATTATTGAGAAGATATTATAGTAGAAGAGAATAGAGACTTAATCACAGGTAAGTCTAATAAAAAGCAACTAGTGACATAATAAAGGCATAATCAAAAGAGTATTTAGCCTTGAGAACAAAGGAACAAACTAGAGTTAATAATTTTTCCAGATTCTATAAATACTATCCCTTTTTGTCATTAAATGAATAATGATGTCTTCAAAACCTCAGTTAAACGCAACACAGAATTATATATGGGAAAGCAGTCTTGCTTTTAAATTTAGCAAGTTGGCCAGCTCAGCAAAGGAGATTCCAGAACAGAATGAGAAAAGAAAATGAATAGCCTTTAAAGTCTCCTCTTTCTGAAATTCTGTGATTCCACTGTCAAAATATCTTAATGGGATATGCAGAGAGATAAAAATAAGATGTTATAGAAAAACAGCATTTTTTATTGATAGTTTCTCCCTTTCCCGCCTGATTTTTCTCAATTATCTCTTGAGAAGCTGGCCTTGGAATAGAATTAGCATTCACCTCATAAGGAAAGAGGAGCTATTTTGAGTAAGTTGGAGGAACTCTACTAAACAAAGTTCTTGGGGAAGTGAAAAGAGCTCTGCTGGCACTGTGGTTAAAGCATTGGGCTGTGAACCAAAAGTTGCTGGTTCAAATACACCAGCTGCTTGCTCCACAGGAGAAAGATGAGGCAATCTGCTTCCATAAAGATTTATGGACTTGGAGACCCTGTGGGGCAATTGTGCTCTGTCCTATAGGGTCATTATGAGTCAGAATCGACTTGATGGTACTGTGTTTGGGCTTGGGGATGTGAATTATTTGTTGATTCAGTCTGTGGCCTAAAGTTGAGGTTTGTGTTGGAGGGAAGGGGGAGGCTTTCCCCACAGAATTTTATAAAGAAATTAAAAAGAAATTGGTAATCTATACTTGGGAATATAGTGGTAAAGAGGACTAAGTATTATATATTAATTTGTGGTGGGGAAAAGAGAATGAGAAGTAAATAAGGAAAAAACAAAACAAAAAAAACCGTGATGTTTAAAATTATTGACTGTCTCATTAGTCTTTCCCTAACGCAGTTAATGCAGTTACAGCATGTATGAGAAGCTCCTTTGCTCTATTTTGCCTTCTCATTCATTCATCAAAAAGTTACTATATTTTTACCTACCAGTTGTGACTAAGACAGATACGGTTGGTCCCAGCCATTATGAATGTTAAATTCCAGCAATGGAAAGAGCCAGAGACAGAAGAGAAAGAAGAGAAACGTAGACAACCCAGAGTGAAAACTCATTCCCTGAATGTTGAAACCTTATTGTACAGTCTCAGAATCTTAAGATTTCTTGCCATACCCCTTGATAACAATTTTGGCACGTTCAACTGATTCTAGTAGTAAAACAATAGTATTTCTTAAAAATATAATGTCATCAAAAATAATTCTAGATAAAACTCCTGGTGATCCAATGTGTGCAGAGTTGAACTGCACCTTAAGGTTTACAGGGTTGTGAACTTCTGGAAGTAGATCAACTAGTTTGTCTTCTGAGGTGCCTCTGGTAGGTTTGAACAGACAGACTTTCAGCTAGTAGAGGAGCACTTAACCATTTGCATCACACAGAGACTCCAGATAAAACTCTATAGAGTTTAAAACTCTAACATTCTCTAGACATTTGAGAATATTATCCTCTTGGAAAAAATAATCAATGTAATGGAATTTGGTTACGAGGGAACATTCTTTCTGCCTCCCATGGTGGATCATGTGGTGCATCAACAATTTAAATTACTCCCTCAATTGGACCCTGAATTTAGGATTAAAAAGGAACCATTTTCAAAAGAGGTCATTGCCTAAACAATTCCTTTAATCAACAGTCAGAGGATTTATTCAACTGATGGTGCCAAACTTGCTTCGCGAGTACCATGATGGTGCATCATTTCCTCAGCCACCGTCACTCAAAGGCTAAGAGAATCAAACACAGTTTTAAATGCAGATTTTGGGTTCTTTTTCATCTTCTGGAAAGTGATTACTAGACTTAATCAAGATTCCTCTGTATCATTAACTAATTTTAGTTTCCTCCTTTTTATTTTTAAATTTTTTTACAGTGAGTTTGGGAGAGCCCAGTCTTAAGTTCTCTGTGGATTTCATATTTTCCTGTTCAAGCCTTGAGGGAGGCTAAATTTAAAAATAGGGAAATAGTAATTAAAGGTGATTAGGACGAGAAATTTTGGTGCTAGGAAATATGGGCTCAATTTTCTTTGTCACAAGCTGTACCAAGAAGCAGTTTTTGGTTTTGATTATAGCATTACTTGCTATTTTAATAAACATGAACCAGTACTCAAACTTTAATATCCTGCTGCTTTAACTATTTCCAAAGAGCTATCCAGTTCTTTTAAACAGCCTTTGTTTTAAAATTTTAATTTGTTTGGCACAGTCTCACCTTAGAAAGTTGTAGCCTCATGGTAAACTCTTTTATAAGTTGATTTCCAGAATCATAAGCAGTTTTTCTTTTCCCCCACCCCCCACTAAGTGTTTCCTCATGTGCCAATATTGTTGGTGCTGACAGCTTCCCTGTCTTGTTTTATCTGGTTCCCACAGTAAGTATGAGACACAAACACAAGAATGTGTCCAGTGTTGACTCGACACATCAAGACTGCGGTGATACTTACAACTCCTCTAGGAAGCGGAGACTGTGCAGGGGATTCAGGGGCAGCTGACTGATGTTGTTCATACTGAGGTCCCTGGAGAGGAAAACAGACAGCGTGTGAGGAGCGGCAGATGCCACCACAAGGAAATCCAGCTGTTCGATTCACACATTTTCAAGCAATGCAATCGAATGGATGCATTCCTTAGCTTGACAAATGACTTGCTATTTTGCATCTTAAATATATTCCTCTCCTCCCACCTCACCTCCCCACCGTCCCAACATTCAACATTATGGCTTTCTATCAAATTCAAGACTCTAAGAGGAGCTTGTATGAAATTCAAAATGATTTAGACCATTCATGCAAACAGTTGTAATCCTTCATGTTTAAAATTATGTGAGTAGGACAGTAGGGGAAACAGACGTAACTCTAGTCATAACTCAACTTTGTATCTTGCATTAAATTTTGTGACAAAAAGAAATATCTACACCATGTAACTCTGGAAGTCTTATTTCTCTGGGACGTTAAGCACCTTGTAAAAACAAATGTTTTGATTCAAAGAAATTTAAAAAAGCAAAACAAAACAAGACAAAAATCTATTCCCTCCTTCTAACATGTTCCTTTTGCAGGTTCTCGGATTGCATTAAATAAGTGAAATGAACCATAAAACAAGGGTGTAATGTGATCCTGCTCTGTAGCACACTTCCTGCTGGGCCTGCACAGTAGTTCCTGGCACAGGAAACGACAAGCCGCTGTGGGCAGAACTCAATCAATTTTTGTTCTAAGCAAAACTTTGTGTAATTAGATTTTAGTCAAATTTTACTTTTCTATTTCTTTACCGTCTTTCACATAATCCTCCAGCATCACTGTATGCCATTTGTATCTCACAAACCAAAAGACTGACTGATGGTTAGATTCTAGTCCAGACCAGCTCAGACTTTTATACACTCAGCTAAAGGTTGACTTAAAACACGAGTTGTTGCTGAAACTCAAAGATTCAGAACTAATGCCATTGTAATCCCAGACCAGGTCTAAAAGCAAACCAAATCTGTTGCTGTCAGTTGATTCTGAAGTATGGACGCCATGTCATACAGGATAGAACAGCTCCACAGGGTTTTCTTGGCTGTAATCTTTACAGAAACAGATTGCCAGGCCTTTCTTCTGTGGTGCTGCTGAGTAGAGTCAAACCGTCAACTTTTAGGTCAGTTGTTGTTGTTATGTGCCGTCAAGTCGGCCCCGACTCATAGCGACCCGTCCTTGGGTTTCCGAGGCGGTATCACTGAGGAAGTAGATTGCCCCACCTTCCTTCCGAGGAGTGGCTGGTGGGTTTGAACCACCAGCCTTCTGGTTAGCAGTCAAGTGCCTCAGGTAGTACTCTACTAGAGCTCCTTTTAGGTCAGTAGTCAAGTGAAAACCAAGGACCAGGTCTATAAACCTAAAATTTATTTCTTGGTAAGACAGTGAATTTCTTTTAAATCTGAATTGTACTTGTTATTGAAGTGGGCACACCGTTGCTGATTTCAGCATGGTAGCTTGGGTCCTTCAACAAATATTAGCTTTTAATCAGTGATTCTAAGAGTTGAGGAATCATTTATTCTTGGTATTTACAAAGACACAAGCACGTGCAAGCAATATATATTTTGTGGGGGGATGGTTAAAAAAACAGATTTACTGTTAACTTTATTATTTATTAGTGAATAATAATGCAGCTATTCTAAATGCTAAGATGCTATATTCTCAAACTGAAACTAAAAATCTCAAATATATGGGCTAAAAAAAGATTTATATTATCTGTGTTTTTAAAAATCTAGATTTTTCTAGCATTTTCTAGGAATAAAAAAATAAAACAGTTGCCATCAAGTCTGTTCTGACTCGTGGTGATGCCCTGTGCTCCAGAGTAGAACTGTGCTCCACGGTTTTCATGGCTGTGTCCTTTTAGAAGCAAATCACCAGGTCTTTCTTCCAAGGTACCTTAGGTGAGTTCAAACTGCTAACCTTTCAGTTAGCAGCCAAGTGCTTAACTGTTTGCATCATTCAAAGACTCTTCACAGTAACTATACAATCTCTGCAAAGACTTGCTATTTCTCAAGGATATTCACTTATTTTTATGGATACCCCATAAATTTCCTAAAAAGATCGAATGGTTTTCTTTTGGAGCATACTTAGTCATAACCTAGATCAAACTAGTGTAGACAAGAGAGTTAACATTGATAGCACTGACTTTTCTCTCCTCTAATATTTTCCTGTGTGATATGCAAATAAGTTTAAGACACATGCTTATCTTTATGTGCAGAACAGGAATATTTATATTTTGAGGAGATTTATAAGCATGTTAATATTCAGTACCTTATTCCAGGCAACAGGAAGTGAAGTTTATATAAGCATTCGTTCTCAGGGTTCCCAATGGAACGTTTTTAATGGTGGAGGAGCCTAAAGCCATTTGCTGTCCAGTTAATTCCCACTCATAGCAACCCTATGGAACACAGCAGAACTTTGCCATACAGTTTCCAAGGCTGTAATCTGTATGGAAGCAGACTGCCACATCTTTCTTCTACAGAGTGGTGGGTTTGAACAGCTGACATTTTGGTTAAAAGTTGAGCTTTTAACCACTCTGCCACCAGAAAAAGTGTAGGCATTGTTAGGCTAAAGTGTCTCAGGTTTGAATTCTGGCTTCTCTACTCACCATCTTGGGGAAATTAACTAGTTAACTCCCTTGCACCAGCTTCCTCATTTTCAAACAAGGATGTCTTTATGTTAATAGTTTGAAACTCTGTGATTAAGTGTTTCCAATCAGAAGGGTATACTCTTCTTTTTCTTCTGGAAAGGGAGACTACCTCCCTTTTCCAACAGGAATTAGTAACTATGGACATTTTATATTGAAATTTCTCTTACAAGATGGGCTTCTTTGCTTTTTATAACTTTTATTGATTGTTTACCAACTCAGGCTATTTTCTTTTAAAGAGTTTCTAGCAACACATATAAACTTACATGAGAAAATAACAAGACTCTAAGATAACATGACAGTTCAAACCCACCAGCCACTCCTTGGAAGGAAGGCTGGGCAATCTACTTCTGTAGTGATACTGCTTCCAAAACCCAAGGAGGGACTCTATGAGTCAGATCCCACTCTACTGCAATGAGTTTTTAGAAGATAACATGAAATAGAATGTTAAACTATAAATTGGAGTGAATTTTAATACTTTCTAAAGGTGAAAAGTAATTAGTCTGCCTTCGCTTTTTCCTTTCTGCATTCAGTTTATGTACTGATGCACAAATGCAGCAGTGGTGGAAAACTAATTTTTTAAAATTTCTAACTTTCTGTGAACTTATACTTTTATAAAATAGAGTAAAAAGTAATTACTAGAAAAACCAAAACCAAAACCAAACTCAATGCTGTCAAGTCGATTTTGACTCATAGCGACCCCTCCTTGGGTTTCTGAGGCGGTGTCACTACGGAAGTAGATTGCCCAATCATCCTTCTGAGGAGTGGCTGGTGGGTTTGAACCACCAGCCTTCTGGTTAGCAGTCAAATGCCTTAGGCATTATACCACCAGAGCTCCTAATTACTAGAAAAGTGAAAGAAAAATAAAGAGATATACAAAACACAAGCACCAATATTTTATTTTTCGATTCAGCAGAGACTGTCAAATTGACTCTGAAATATTCTAAATCTTTACTGTCAGATTCTTATCTTTTGTGGACTGGGAAAAAAAAACATCATCACCCAGGTTGAGTTCTCAGGCCACTCTTTGGTTTGGTCTTCTGTCTTCATGTCAAGAAGGGAGAGGCTTAAATTACTTTTAGCTTGCTCTACTTTGAGTTAAAAATCCACAAAAGGTAAGAATTTGGTTGGGCAATCTACTTCTGTAGTGATACCACCTTGGGAACCCAAGGAGGGTTCTCTAGGAGTAGGGTCTGACTCAACGGCACATAACAACAACAACTACTTTGAGTTAAAAACAATAGAATGAGAGAATGTTTAACAGCTAGAGATGATTTGCACTCACTGTGCAAAGATGGTAATTTACATAGATTAGGAAGGCAAACCTTCAAACTAATTCTTCCCAGTTTAGTTATGGCCCACCAAGCAAAATTGGAATGGGCCCGAATCTACTTCCCTAGTGATACCACCTGGAAAATCCAAAGAGGGGTTACTATGAGTTGGATCCCACTCAAAGGGCAGTGAGGTTTTGTTGGTTTTTTTTTTTTTTTTTTTATGGAAAGAGAAGCAGAACAGGAAAAATTACAGGTTGGTGCCCTGCTAGAAACTTAATCTCCCTCTTAGAAAACAAGGGCTACGTATGTATTGCATGGCAACCAAATTTTTTGACCGGCAGAGTCAAAACAGTGGTGCCCCATTCAAAGATGGTGCCTGACAATGCTACTTTGAATGGTGTGTTGTGCTCTACAGTTCTGACAAAAATCCAATCTCCCACGTGAGGCTTCTGAGGGGGTCACTACATCTCTTCCAAGCCTCCCATTGTAGGGCTTTGACTCATAATTTTTCCTGTTCTGATTATCATTTAGGAGCTCTGGTGGCGTGGTGCCTAAGGCATTTGACTGCTAACCAGAAGACTGGTGGTTCAAACCCATCAGCCACTCCTCAAAAGGAAGAGAGAGCAATCTACTTCCGTAGAGATACTGCCTTGGAAACCCAAGGAGGGGTCGCTATGAGTCAGAACCGACTTGACGGCAATGAGTTTGTTTATTAATTTACCATTTTGCTTCACCCAAATTTTAAAAATTGTGGTCTGTTCCGATTTCACTGTGTGGGCCATGACTGAAACTCTTTGAAGCCCTGGAGGACAGTGAGGTTCAGAGAAGAGAGATGGTTTCCAAGTTATAGTGCAGAATTTAGTGGAAAGCCCCAGGGCTGGAACCTAGGTCTCTCCTTGCCCTAGAATTTTGATTTTCCTCTTTTTGAACCTTATTACTGTCTGTAAACTATTCATCTTCTGATTTTTACATAATTTTTAAGCTTTTCTTTTTATTTTCCTATTTGCGTTTGGTCTTTTTGACCATTGGAACACATATAACCTTAGCAGCAAATGAATGGTCTTAAAAGAACTTCCAAGCCTGTGGATTATTTACTTTTT